GTGTGTGTGTGTGTGTGTGTGTTAATCTTAAATAACTGGATGGTTTTTAACTGTAAACAACTCATCTCTGTTTAAAACTAACTTGATAAAAAATGATAAATTAGTTCAGTTTTTATGTGATTTTTTTTTCAGCAGAATAAAAAACTAAACACAACTCATGAAGACAAAACAAAAACACTCCCTGATGAGCTAATGGCTAGTCTGAACGCAGCTAAAACCAAAGTGGACTGCTGTCGTCTTAAAACAGTTTCTGAAAAGTTTCTTGTTTTATTCTTATAAACAAACCTCCATCGCCTCACACGACAGTTTGTTTTGATAGATCTCTGTTATTTAGCTAGCAGCAGCAGCTAGCTGTAGCACTTTCGCTGCAGTCGCCAAAGCTTCACTTTCTTCACGTTCAAATTGAAAATTGTGTAACAGAACATTTTCCAGATTCCAGCATGTTGGAACCGGTTCCTGCAGCCTGAGACCCACCTTTAACCAGAACCAGACTCTGGAGCAGAACTCGGAGTCCRTCAGGCTCTGCAGGTCTGAGGCCAGATTATCTGCTGGATTATCACACTGCTGGCTGCAGCTGGACTCTGGTGGTCCRGGGTTGAGCGGCCTCAGCAGAGATGCATCAGTTACCAGAGGATTATTTAAAGTGGTGGATCTGAGTTGTTTACTGCGTTCTTTCAGGCTTTTYTTTTGGCGGTGAAATTCTTCAGTTTGCTGTCATCAGCTGCGGTTTGACTCAACTGGAAGCAGAAACCAGGAATAATGAACAGAAGCAACGTTTTACTGATGCAGAAAATMAATGTTTGTCTTGTAGCTCCGCTTAGACCGCAGAGAATTTTAATCTGTGTGAAATTTGGTTAAAAATAATGTCAATTTTATCATTTTTTTCAAAGGTTTTCTGTCCTCTTGATCAATACTTTTCTGTTGAAACATATTACTTTTTTATTTGAAGGACAAACAACTATTTGTTCTATTTTATTTTCAAAACAAGCACAAAAAATATAACTACTGTGTGTTCAAACTCAGCTCCAATCATTGAATGAATGAATGAATGATTTTATTTGTTCGGGACAGTATGTAATTAAAACATAATGATGCATGGCACCAGATTCAGCCTAAGGCTAATTTACATCTGTAGTTCCATCAAACAGTAAAAACAAAACAATTAATTCCTGAAAATTTGATTAAATTCCATCCAGTGGTTCAGGAGACATTTTGAAACAAACACAATGATTATAACTGAGAAAGTTAAAAATAGTAGCAGGGTGTGGACCATCACAGGTCTGATGACTCAGGATCTCTTCAGCTCCTGGAACGGTTGTTTTACTCTGTATTTTCTGTAACAATGCAGCCGCACACAGCATCACAGGTCTCCGTCCTCAAACATAGG